TTTAATATAAAAACACCAGGTCTCTGCCTTTGCACTCTCTGAAGACCCTCCCATACCATCGCGCACGTGCCCGGCTGGCCTGCTGTGAATTGGTTCGAGTGTAAGCTCGAAGGCGCTGCCCCGCCGCGCCCCGTCCCTCCTCGCTCCGCTCGCCGCGCTGTGATCGTCCTTGCGCCGTTCTATTGACATCTCCAAAGTACTCAAACGAACCATTCGGCCCGCCAGCCTCTCGGATCAATAGCGGTAGCTGAGATGAGAGGAAATAAAAAGTCCGTATACGTCCGTCTCGCTCATGGTGAGGAACACACTTCTCCCAGGCGCAGCCCCAGCGTCGCGCCGCCGGTACCTCTCCCGATGCAGACAACGGCATCGACCGTCGCGCGGATATTCTTGGGTACCTCCGAATTGAAAGAGTTCGGATTCGTCTTGCTAGGGTTCGCGTCGCAGAGACGTGGTCCGGGTTGCACGGGAACCTTGCTCGAATCCTCGGGGGACGCAGCGTAGCGGCGATCTCGCGCCTGGCAGTGGCGGTCCAGGTCCCGGTGCCAATCACACCGCACGCTGCATCCCGGGGGCTGAAAGTCAAAGACGAGCACTATTGTCACACCTGCATGAATCAGGATCGGCGGGGAGGGGCAACGCTCGCGCTACTCACCGCGTTCAGAACCGTTTCATGGAGACGCACTCGGCGATGACGAGGACGAGCATGGCGAGCAGCACCACGACGACGAACACGGTGTCGATGTGGCGGTGGCAGTGCGCGCGCGGCGCGGGCTCGGCGTCGCTGCGGCACGTGAAGTCGTGCACCAGCTTGCTGGGCCCGGGGCCCGGGCCGGCCAGCATGCTCCGCGACCCGGACAGCGACCCGGACAGCGAGGGCGGCGCCAGCCCGCCGGCCGCCGTGGCCTTGGTCACGATCCGCTCCTCGTCCAGCACCAGGATCACCTCCGTGAGGTCCGGCCGGCCGGACGCCGGGGCGGCGTCGGCGGCGTCCTCTCGCGGCGCGCTCATGGCGTCGTGGTCATGACTGCCCTCCGCTCGGCGTCCGCTGGCCGCGCGGTCGCCGGCGCCGCCGCCCCGCGTCTCCCGAGAGCACATATCGATGGCATCGGCCTCCGAGCGGGTGCGAGAGAGACTGCCCATCTCTGTCCGACGTCCACCAGCCCCAATCGCTCTCGTCGGGCGCCGGACAACAAACCAATCAGGGCCGCCATATCGGGGCGCAGGGCAGGACGCCGCCGTCCAGAGCGTCAATGCTCTGTCTGGCGGGGAGGGGGCCTGCCCCGCCTCAGGCCCCCAAGCGACCCGCCGCGCGTGCGGGTAGCTTAGGTTGCCTGCTTCTCGGGCGCATGCCGCCAGTCGCAGTCGCCCGTCCGTCGGCCTTCGCTTGCCAGAAACACGAGAGCTACGCTGTAAATTTGGACTAGCGACTTGCACCGGGTGTGCCAGAGCGGTCGCTGCAGGGTTCGGGTCGCAGAGACGTGGTCCGGGTTGCACTGGAACCTCGCTCTAATCCTCGGGGGACGCAGGGTATACCCTATAGCGCTATAGCGCTATAGCGCGATCACTCTTGGAAAGCAGGGGGCGGACGGAGTAAGCAAACCCGCTGCCCTGCCTCGGCTCTTTCACACCTGGTACGTCTGTACGCACCGGTCATTATATTGACTACTGATTTTGACGAGTTGTTAGGAGGGATGAAACCAAACATGCGCGAGGCCTTTTCTCCAAATGTTACCTGGTTAAACAAACCGCTGGGCTGGGCGCTACATTTACTTACACTCGGGGTGGAGTGCGGGGGCCTTTCCTACTTTCAGTTCCAGTTTTGTTCTCATTGCCTTCTACTGAATCCGGGTTCTAGCCTAGTTACCTTATAGGCGTATCCGAGCGTAGAGTCGATTCAACTGCAAAGTTGATGAACCCTCGAACATTGTGGGGGAGGGGGTAACACCGACGGTTGAGGTTATGCTACGTTCAAATATTGGTACCGTGAAGTAAAGTCACAGCGATGCAGTGGGTTTACATGTAAACTGCATGTAAACTTACTTGGAGCTGCAGTTATGGCTGTCACATACCACGCCAACCGCCTCGCAAACAAATCATCTGCTCCGTTCCGTTTGAGTCCCCCGCGCCCCGCCCCTCGCCGGGTCAGAGCACCACCCTGGTGGCGGGTCGGTGACTCACTCACACAAGCGCCATGCTGTTTGTTTTGATGCGACTGCAACAGTTTCTCGGTTACTCGGCCGATGAAAAGTGGGGCCGGTTTTGCTTGCGGTGTTTTTGTTGTTTACTCTTCCGCGGTTTGGATACAACACATCTCGACCCTCGTGGATTGTCATCCCTCGATAGAGCACCGTTGTCGTGAACGTGCAAAACACATCCGAGAACCGTTGAGAAAACTGTGTATTGTTAACATAACCTCGAAACTGCGCCTCCTCGCGCTGGAAAGCTGGACCGCGGCGGTGTGCAGTTCGGAGCACTAACTCTGCGACAGCCGTCATCGGGAGCTCGCAGCCTGGAGGAGAAGAGTACGGAGAGACGCTGTTCGACGCCGAGCTCTTCGTCGTCGTCGTCGTCGTCGTTCTAGCCGTGTCCCAGCCCGGCTCCACACCACGCCCTGCCCCGCGCCCTGAGGACGACAAGAAGTTGTGAGGTAAGGACACTCGCTTGGGCGGGGCGAGGCGAGCCGGTCATGTGGGTCATGTGCGAGGCCGTGTGTGATGTATGTTGCCGCCCGTGTCGGTGCCCCGCCCCGCCCCGGCCGGTCAGGGCTCCGCTCTGAGAAAGCTCGGCCGGCGGAGGGTCTGCTCCGGTCTGCCCACTGCGAGGATCGGGGGTGTTTTGTTGTGTCCTCGCCTCGCACCACCGCAACGGCACCGCTCACTGGAAAAGAGAGACGCAGCAACCCAAACCGAGGATTTGGGGACGCCCTAAGTTCAAATTGGGCGGTCTTGCCTGAGGCCCGGCCGTTCGCATGAAGTACGTGTGGCAGACACAGTTACAGCAGTTACAGTTGGCCGTCCGGGTCGGGCGCACGCGGGCTGTCGTCGTGTACAGGAGGAGGAGGGTACACCCCGAGGCTCCGAGGACGCCGCCGCCGACAACTGTGTGGCCTGGTGGCCTTTCGAATAGTACAAATCTGGCGCTTTCGCAAGAGGTGGGGGTACCTCGTACCCCTGTCGTTTCTAGTAAAGGGCGATCTACAATGGGAGTGGAGTAGGGTTTAAGAGTAGAGTAAGGGAAGTGAGGTTAGGATGCTCCTCGCGAATGCCCCGCGAAGTGATATGTGACGGTTTGTCACACCACACCACGGGGATGCTTCGCGGATGTCCTCACGAGTCACCCTCATACCCTCATCGCGAGGCATTCGAGTTGTCGCGAATCGCGACTTATCACTTCGCGGGGCGCTCAGACGGGGCCACTTCGTCACTCCCCACGCCCTACTCTTTCCTACTCTGCTGCATTGTAGATGGCCCTTAAGCCTCATGAAAAATAGGCAATTTGCGCGTGAGAAAACCAACCTATATGCAGGCAAGGCAATCTATGATGCATCCCGCTCCCCTCCCGCTCTGACCGACCGATCGCCGACCTGTCTCACTCGGGCCGAGCTTTACGACACACCCCGTAGACCGTAGATCGCTGCGTCGCAAGTCACGCTGCCCGACCCTGGGCGCCTCTGACCTCTCCCTCAAACTGCTGAATGAACTGCTTGGGGTCTTTTTGAGCACTACAACAGTGGTCCTACTCGAGGCACAAACAAAGCGCATTATTCGAACGTTAAACCTAAATCTGACTAGATTTTCGACGGTCTGGCACGTCCTCTCTCCGTGTGCCGAATGCCTGAGGAGATGGCTCCACAGCCGCAGTCGTCCCGGACCACCCGCAGCACCCCAGCCCAGCCCTCGGCGCGCTGCAGCGTGCTGCCCGGGCGGGGCGGGACCCACAAGGGCCCAACCGCACGATGCGTTGAGGGACAGTGATTACAAGGTGTGTCGGGCGCGCCCCGCCTCTCCTTGCCCTACCCCACCCCGCCCCTCCTCTTTGGGCGGGCTGTTCGGTTTATTGTCTGCGGTGTACATACTTACTTGCCGGCGGGGTCGGTGCGTTGCCCGGCGAGTGGCGGAGCGCGGAGCGTCCAGATACATACAGAGTAGTATTCATCGCCCGAGTCCTTATCGCCGAGACGGGGGAGGGAAGGGTCCCCCTCTTTTCGGATTCGGGGTCACCTCTTCGCCACAACAAATCCTAGTCTGTGAAACTGGGTGTACGTCAGCGTCGTTGTAAACACGCCAACCACGCTTCATCACTGTCAAAAATACTGTACCAAAGTACAGCAAAAGGACGGTATGTTTGTAGTGATGAGGTACATGATCGTTGTACTTTTTTGCTGTAGTGCCCATAAGACCCCATGTTAAGGGATACTGTACTTTGTACCTCAAAATATAAATTCACCTATGTACTGGGTGTTGCACGCTCCACCGGGCGCTACGCATGTTTGTTGGGCTGCCTACTCTCTGGCAGCTGGCGCTGCAGAGAGAAGGCTACTTTGAGGGCGTATCTGGGAGCGCCCGAGGGAGGTCCCAAAGGCGATCGGGCTTGACCACGTCCCTCGCACCAACGCTTCGGGTGATCCCGCGGTGCCGCGTGGGACATCAAGTATTCGCCGAGAGGTCCCCCTCTCCCAAAATAGGTGTACTATCAGCGCAAAAAGAATTGAACCCCTCTGACGTACATATTCTAAGCAGAAAGGGTTCAACACTTTCTGCGCTTGCGCTGATAGTACCGGGTTATTCAGAGTAGACGCAGTTGTGGGCCGGTTTGCCTACCCAAGGGGCTATGGCGCTTTAGCGAGTTCACGAGTTGAATCCAAACCGAGTGATACGTGGAGTTTTTGCGAATTTTCTTCGCCTTTTAACGGGTTGGGCGCGAGTTTTCTCGAGCTCGACGCGAGGTCAGCCCTTGGGAACCGGCTGCGAGGTGAACCATTCGCTGTACAAAACCCCTGTACGTATCGGCCGCCCCCAGATCGCCGCCCTACCGATGTCGCGTGTGCCTACAGAATGAGAGCACTCAGCCGTCCCGATAGTGTTCCGGGTGCGCTGCACCTGCCGGGGCCGGGGCTGGGGCGGTTGCTGCTGCCGGCTGTTGCAGCGTCGCACATACATCAGCGCGCGGGAGGAGCGAGGGCGCGGATTTCTGGCGCGGATGCGTGCGTACACGGCCGCCTCCTAGCCAGCCGCCTAGCCGGCCGCAGCCCTTCCGTGACGCAACCCGACAGGCCGGGCGGGGCAGCCGACGGGGGCGGCGCGCGGGCTGCAGGCCCCGAGCAGCCCCGAGGCAGGCCCTGCCGCTGGCCGCGGGGCGACGCGCAGCGCGCAGCAGCCGGTTCTGCACCGCTGGGGGGCTCGTGGGGCTCGCCTTATGGACCGGGCCCGGCGCCGTCATGGCTGCCATGCCGCTAGATTGTTTCCGGAGGAAGCAGACACGCGGCCCGCCGCGCCGCCCGACCACTCCGCACTTGATGGACTTGGATGTATGTGTGTGTGTGTGTGTGTGTGTGTGTGTGTGTGTGTGTGTGTGTGTGTGTGTGTGTGTGTGTGTGTGTGTGTGTGTGTGTGAGAGTCTGTGTGTGAGTGTGTGTGGAAATAAACGCCGGGTGAGGCGAAAAAGTGGGACACACGCCCGATAAAATCTCCTCTCCTCGGCGAAGAGACGGCGGGCGAGCCGAGCCGAGCCGAGCCTGGCCTGCCAGGGCAGGGTGTTGCGTTACAAAGTAACGCTCGCGGATACGTTGACAAGTCGAGGGGGCGAGGGAGATAGTGGAAGCGGCTCGCAGAAAACTTCCTTTCACTCTAAATTCGCGCCAAAGCCACATGTGCGCGGGGCGGCCGGCCGTGGTGATGTGATGTGACGCCGACTTCCGGATATCGCACGTCTACTCCTCCGGGCGCCGGCCGAGCCTGCCCAAGCGAGCCCCGCGGCGCAGCGCGGCGGCGGCCGAAGACACTTCTTGTGTGACATTTTCAGGGCAGCGACACTCCAGGTGCGCTTTTATTGCCACTTCTCGTCGGGTGTCCGTGGTGGTTGCACCGAGTTGCACTGCACTGCCCCACCCGAGGGGTTCATTCGTGTGTACTGTACACCCTACAAAAATCAGAAAAAATCGAATAAAATCAGAGTACATAAAATACAGAATTATTTATAAAATCAAAATATTGGTATCGCCTAAGCTTGCATTTATAGTAAATGAGCGATCGGCACTAGCCCCCCACCCCCTCTTCTCTCTTAGACTGCATCGCGCCGGCGCTGGTGTTGCAGTTTTCGAATGTCCTCGTATACATGATCATCTGCACGGGCTGACCGTTGGCCGTTGCTTTGAGCCGGGCTCAGCTCAGGCACAAATCTAGAGGCGAATCTGAAAGTGAATCTGGAAGCGCCGCACGTGCGTCTGCGGCTGCAGAGATGGGTGGGGCGGGTCAGGGAGAGGTAGTGGATCATCCAGGTAGGTGTGTGAACACTATTCGTACACATGGAGGCGCAAGTATGCGAACTTTTAAAGGAAAAATCACACCTTCACCCCTTCGAGTGTAACGAAGGGACATTCACACACTCCACACCTACAAGTGTGTGACATTCACACACTTCACACGTTCGTTTCCAGCGAACAAAACCGACAAAGCGCTCCTTCAATTGCGGCCCCATAGCGCCTGCTAGGTAGGCAACATCTCGCCTGCAGTGCATGCGTGTACTGCGGGGTGGCCTACCCCGACTCTCGCAGGCGCCCGGCTCTGGCCCAGCTCCCGTAACTTTGCTGATGTTGTACCCGAGGACAACAGACGTGCTTCCTAGACGACCCCTGAAGGTGAGGACGCGTCCCTGGCTCCATCTCGCCGAGCGGGACGGTGCGCGAGATCAAACACGGTGGCCGTCGTCTGGTTCTAGTTCTCAATTGTGTGATCCAAGAAGTTATTCAGCCAATCGCACTCGCACTTCCCAATTTGTCGTTATAATGGCGACATATAGGCAACATGGCGACATATAGACAACATGGCGACATATAGGCAACATGGCGACATATAGGCAACATGGCGACATTCAGGCAACATGGCGACATATAGGCAACATGGCGACATATAGGCAACATAGCAACATATATTCGCGGCACCCAAAGAAATAATTCGCAATCGCCGCCAATGCATTATTGCCGTAATGCCGCCGCCTCACTGCCACAAAGTCGCGGTCCGCGCGGTGCGCGTATCGCGGTACCTGTGCCTTGCCTGTCCCAGTGGCCCCCTCCGCCAGCAGGGCTCCGCCGGGGTTACGCTCACGTCAAGCTCTGGTTGCGTCACCGGACCCGCACGCTGGTGGCAAGGCATATCCCACTTCTTGAAAATCACGACCAGAGCGCGGCCAGCGCGCCAGCGCGCCAGCGGGCACTTCCCTCCGAATGAACCGCATATTTAATTTAACCTGGTAGACTTCGCCCGCACCCCTCTCCCTTCCTGCCTGCCTCCCTCCCTCCCTCCCTCCCTGCCTCGCTCGGGCCCCGCTGGAGCGCGGCTCCGCGGACGGACAATTATTGTTATCACGAGCTGAGCGGCCGGGGCCGGGCTGGCCTTCGCGGATGCATCCGGAGTGCATTTCGCTCGCCGCGCTGCTGAGGGAGAATGTGTTGAAATGAGTGAAGGGGCGGCGGCGGCGGCGGCCGCAGGAAGGCGCGCAAGGTGATGCATGAGGACGATGAGGAAGCCGCGAGGCGGTGGCGTCATGTCGGCCGGGGCTACCTGCTCGCGCCCGACTCGACTGCCGGCGATATATATTCCGACTTGCTAGAGCGATGTATCGAAATCGAACGGCCGGCGGCCGGAGGAGAAATGCGGCCTCTGCGCTTCCGCGGGCTGCTGCAGCGGGCCCGACAAGACGGAGATGCTCCCGCACCACCGTGTCGAGGTTGTCGGGCACTAGCAGCGTATCCCATCCGTGACTGACTCAGAAGTGTGTTCCCGGACAGCATTTTCCGGCCCATTGGCTGCATCGGACATGCCACTGCCGCCGCGCCGGCGCTGCCAACCAAATAACCGCACACCGCCGTGTCGTTGGCGCGGCGCGGCCCGGCGCCCCGCGGCCAGGTAACTGCGCGGCGCTCGGCGCGCAGTTACGCGACTGTGATCGGGACGTTAAAGTGTAAGAGCGGCTGTGGCCTTTCTTTTCTCGGGGTGGCTGGCCTCCGAGCAGCTGAGTCCCTCGGGCCTGGCGCTGCTGGTCAGCGGCCCACAGTCCAACCCTCTCGGCTCGTCCATCTATCTGCCGACAGGCGGCACTCTTGTCATGGCACGTTTTGTTACTCGAACTCAGTAGCTGTACAGGGTAGTGACCCACAGATGAATGTATCCCGGTAGATTTAGCCATATCCATTCTCTATGGTAAGGCGACTTATATTTTGCGTTTGAGTGCGCTCTATTTATCAGAATAGAAACTTAGCCGCGTGGATATCTACGTCGCCCGCTAAAAATGACGTGTCCGGCCGCCTTGCTCGCTGCGTACGGCGCAGCGGCGGAGCCGGCCTGGCGCAGTCCTGACGGTCCCGACACTGCAGGCCGTGCCCGGGCCGTGCCCGGGCCGTGCCCATGTACGGAGGGTAGCGGGCAGGCCAGGAAGTGAGTGAGCCCCGGCCGTAGGCTGCCGTAGGCTGCCGTAGGCTGCCGCAGGCCCGGCAACCTGTTGTCAGCCGGGTTCAGCCACCGCGGCCCCGCCGCCGGCCGTGGCGAAAGCTGCGAGCACCGAGAAGGGAGGGATCGCTCATACCTCGTGGGAGCCACGCCCGTGTCACCCGCAAGGACCGTCGGCCTCTTACCTCTCGCTCGCCTTCACTGGCGTTTTGAACCTCTCTGGTAGTTTTTAGGGGGGAGAGGGGTCGGCCTTTTTAAAATTGCGGTTTCATCGGGTCATGGCAAAATCCCACTGTGGCGCCGACGACTTGACTATGTGTCGTACCCATCAACCACAGAGGGGGCTGACAGACCCGGCTGCGGAGGCGGCGCGGCCTCACGCCACGCGGGGCGCGCTAAAGTACGGCGAAAAGAGAAAAAAATAAATGGGGGGAGGGGGGTATGTCGTGTAGAGCAACTCGCGCGCCGCAAGGAGAGGAGGAAAAGGAGGAGGAAGAAAATCCATTTCTCATCGGGTTGAATGGGTTAGGAAACACGGCGCCCTTGGGGAGACCAATTTGGACCGGGCGTAAGTGCGATGACAGGCAGTGCCTGCCACGCCGCGCCACGCCGCGCCACGCCACGCCGCGCGCGCGGAGAGTAACCTTGCCCTTTCATGCGCGGCGCCACCACACCCTTTTGTTATAATTGAATGTGACCAACAACACGAGAGCCGCTATCAATGGCCGGGGGAGCAGCTTGTCATTTGTTTGTGTGGAAGACCTTGTTGTTGTCGGGCGGGGCGGATCAGCAGCGCTGCTGACTTCTTAGGTCTCACCGCGCGGCGCGCGGGGCAGAAGCCGCGCGGCCAGAGAAGAAGACGAACAACACAAAGTAGTGTGGATGGTTTTGACGCGCGGCCCGGCGGCCGGTCGGTGAGTTAAGATCTTTGTGTGTTTCGAGAAGACCGACGACGATGCGACTTGCCGGCTGACCTCTGTGAATCATAAATTGTTGACTAAATTCTCTTTCTGGATGGACCAAAGGGGGCCGCCGCGGGGC